TCCAGCAGTTGGAGGGCCCTATGGAGGTGTACTTCTATCCAACAGGGGGTCTCTTTGATGCTCTGGCGCGGGTAGTCGGGACCCCAACCCTTCACGAACGACAGCCTTAAGATGCAGAGCCGACGCAAGTCGTCGACACCAATGCCGGCCGCAGCCGAGAGACCTATAAGACACACATAATTTGTACATCAATTCAAAGCAATCACATACTACTGGAGGACTGACTGATTGCGGGTGCGATCCCCCCGACCGAAGCGGGCCCTGGAATATGTCCGGCGACAGCGGCGGCCTGGGCTGCGGCGGCCGCCTGAGCCGTGTGGGCCTGTTGTTGCATTTGGCGATAACATTGTCTCAAATCGAAAACTTTGATGTAAGCCGACGGGTAGATCTTATGCACGGCGTCCCCGGGAGACCGCCCCGCCTCCCGATCCAAGTAATAGCTCTGAACGAAGACGGAATGATCGGACAGACATCGTAGCCATACGTCTCCTTCGCCTCTCAGGTCGAGCTGAACGCCTAATGGTGTGGACAACCGTAGTGTTAATCTCGTGATACACGCGCTGTGAATGCTAACCTTTGCCGATGTGTAGGCGCGCCTTATCGCTCTGTTCAGTCCGGTGCACATTGGAGAGGGCGCCCAAACAAAACCGATTGCCACCACTGGGGTCCACATACCCGTCCACAATGACGGACACGTAACTGGATTGCACTTTGAAGGTCTCGCCCACGTGTTGGTCTAACTCGAAGTACGCGATAGAGCACCAGTACTCTGGCGGCGGTTGGTTTGATAGTGTGGTCTGAGGTATAGAATTGATGGCTTCGGTGGGCGGCAGTTGTGAGGGCTGCCAGAAAGAGGTGGACGACAGGCCAGTCGCCGGACGCGATGGTGTGTCCGTCGGAACCATTGTCTGAGTGTACGAAAGGGTCGCCCCTCCGGCCCACGAACAGGTGCTGCCGTTCGGTGTTATAGCGTTGGCTGAGATCGGAGCGGAGCCCACGTTAGCGCCCATTACCGGCGCCACTGACTGGGGAATCGGTGGCGCTTCGGGGGTCTGCGGCGGGACTATTGGTACCAAAGGCGAGGCCACCGATTGTGGCGACGACACGGAGATGTAGTCAGCACTGGAGGGCGTGTTTGGCATCAGTCTTGAGAACGAGTCGTTACTCGACGGCGACATTGATGTGGATGTCGTGGAAGGAGTAATGAGTGAGGCGTGCGATACAGACGGATGCGGTGGTTGAGCCTGAATGTGATGTTGCGATGGATGAGCACCAGGATGTGGGTGTGGATGGTGTTGGACCACGTGCTGCATGTGTTCCAGTGATGGCACGTTCGCACCACCTGTTCGGCAATGAGAGTGACCACAAAAAATGTTAATTTGCTTCAAGTGTTAAGTCAATCACAGACTAAAACTTAACAAAATTCAAATACATTTTAGTATTGTTTGGCATTTGAGTCAAACTATCGTTAAATGTCACAAACATTTGACATTTAAGTGATGTCTTAATGTAAAAGTTTTGCCAAAATATCAATTAATGACAAAAAATGGTCTAAAACTGGTTTTTCTAGTTTAAAAAATCAATTAAAACAAAAACAGTTTAATTCTTAATTATGATGAATACTATAATATTCTTCACAATCTAAACAAAATCTTATCTCAATTTTTACACAAATTGTCGTTTAAATGGCTCAGAAGACCATTAACTCAATCTAATCATAACGGCTTTCATACAAACCATTAATGTTTGAATTACTTTCACCGCTAATACTTATATTGATAGGAAAAAAGTTTCAAAATTAACAAAAACTACTCAAATACTCGATTTAAGTGCAAAATCACATCCAATACATTAAGACAAACATAAAACGAAATGAATATAAATACCGGAAACATATTCGGCCTTCACTTGACTCCTGAGGCCCACCTCCTCGTCGTGTCCGGTGAGTGTGAGACCCGACAGATCGATACCCGGAGAGACCACCCGTTCGTAGTGATAGGGATTCACGCAAACGGAGTCACACTTGAGGTCGAAAGCGAATTGACCTGAGATTCAAAGGACACCACAAACTATGAGATCATATGACTGGGAGACATGTGCGACAAGTGGATGGCGTAGACGTACAGTACTTCACGTGTTTGAGTTCATTCTTGTGGAGGTCAGGCCATCGCCAGATGCGCGCGTATATGACGTGAGGAAAGCCCTTACGACCGGCCACTTGGAGGCGACCGTCGAGTGTCCTCTGAATGGTCACACATTTGGACGGATGCGCCCCATTGGTGGTGATGGCAGTGATCAGTGAATCCAATTCGTCTCTCTTCTCCTTCAACTTCTTCACCAACGACTCGATCGCCCGTTTGGCGAACCCCTCGCTCTCGCCTGCAATCAATCACACCATTCGTGTCATACAATTATCATCTCTCACACCACAGCCATCACAAGTGGCACTTCGGACGTCAGCTCCCGGCGCTCACCACACACTCAGCTCATTGTCATTCGGCGGTTACCACACCAGGCGTCACATTATCACCAAATATGTGTCAATAGCTATCATTAAACTCTTATGATTGATGTCTGTGAGGGGGTAACCGTCGAGGGACACAATGGCACCTGTATGTGGTGGTGACTGGGGCACCGGTAGCACAGACGACTTGTGGCAGTGATACAGACCTCCCTGTCGGTGACACATCAAAGAGTGGACAATCGAGAGACAGGCATCGGCTGAGGTGGGGGTCGACACGACTCCTCCCTGGGAGGGCCCGCCCGACGACGACTGCGAACTGTTGGAGACATTGGGTCCGGAGTTGGGCTGCATTTGCGGCGTTTGTATAGACATGACGACCTCGAGGACGATAATCGCACCACAAATGCACTCAAAATGACAATCAAATCAACGACAATACCATGAATTCGTGTTTCAAATGATTATTACTTTTTTGGACACAAATAGTAAACACAAAGTAATCGTCAAATCGTTTCATTCATTCATTCAATGCTTTTGTTGTTTATTTGAAATACATTTCACATCAACACTGATATGAAGTGTTGTTTATAATTATTATAATGAATATGTTTTCGTAATTATTAATTAAAACTTTAATTTTGTTTTCATTTTGTTTTTTGCATTTTTCGTAAATAAATCGCTTTTTTCTCATTTATTAGAAGTTTCACCACTTTCTCCACATTTTATTCACTCAATTCTCTGATGATTTTCGGCACTTTTGTACGCTATATGTTTGCGCCGTTATGCGTGTAGTGTTGTTATATGAAATAGTACCAAATGTCTTTCAAATTATTTCATTTACACTGCAAATATTTGCGTTAAAACGACAATTTAGTACTTTTTATAACAAATCATGCCGTTTACTATGTGTGCGATCGTATTGTGGGTTGGGTCACAAAATGCGGTATGTTTCTCACAAAAATGCGACCAATTTAAATTCAACTTGTTACATCTATTTGACACTGACCATGGGCATTTCAGGTCATATTCAACTATAAACCAGTTTTGTGTCCAATTATTTGACAATTATTTATAGTTTTCCCATTATTTTGATAATAATAATAATACAAATTAGTGTGCCCTTCAAATAAAGTTAAACACCTTGCTAAATTTTAAATCTAATTGTCTATATAATTAATTCGGTTCTAATTACTAGTTGTATTAATATTTAAAACTAGACATACCTTCGGCACAGTTAATGATTGTGAGCACCGATAGGTAACAACATGTAGGAGCACTTAATTAAGACAGTTGTGAACAGTCTATCATTTAGTCTAAATAACATACAAATGTATAAAAGAATATATTTTTATAATTCATTAATTAATTATGATCTCTAATAATACAAAAGTTTGCAAAATAATGACAAAATGTATTATTAATATAAATCTCAGATTTAAATATTGTATGAAATGAATGAAGTGTTGATCCAAAGGCACTCAAGTATGCAATCGTATGAAAAGTATCTATAGGTATGAAAGTTAGCCATAGACTGAACGAATCAGTGAGTGGTGTCTCCGAGAGCCTCCCTATCACTGGTGTTCACGGGTTTATAAATGGGATCTAATTTAGGTTTGGCTGTAGTCTTGGCTTTATTGCGATTACGACCCCAACTGCCGAAGTACTCAAAGCTACCGTTCACTGAGTTCTTGTCTTTTCGGATACAGAACCAGAAAATGACAAAAAATATGATAAAGAGAGCGATTCCAACGCAAACCACTATCAGTATAATGGACCCAACACCCAATTTGTCTGGTTTTGGCTCATAGTCTATACACAAGTCCTGAAACGATGCGATTATCGACTCCAATCCCTAATCAATAAATGAATAGCAAATAATTTACTTAAAAGTTTGGCCCAAATATAATGTCTTAATGTATTCCCTATTCTCTAATGGATTATCTTTGAGTGCATTTACGATATTATTGAAGATAAAAGTTGGGCCTAATTATAGTAAAAGCAATGGACAGACAGACAGTAAGTCTGTTTAAAATAATGGAAATTTACTAAAAATAGAAAATAAATTATAGAAAGGAATATTCTGTGTGTCTGTCCACTACTAACCTGTTTATAATAACGACTCGTAAAATGTTTTTTGGTTTCTCTTAAGATTTTATCCAAACTCTCATCGGTTATGACATTGCGAGCCCTCGAACCCATTGACACATAAATCTAATTAATAATAATTGTCACTTAAAAATAGTGAATAAGATATTGGATTTGTATGAATGCCTTGTCATCCAAAGCGGCGAAGAATATGAGGACATCATTACTACAGTCTTCACCGAAACGCCACTTCCGGCGCGTCCTTTCGGCAAACATTTCCACCGATCGGTCTATTGTTATACTGAATGTCACTTATAATGAGTTCTCGCTTTCAATTTAATGACAATGTAGTGAAATAACTTACTTCCGGATCACTTTCACAAAGTTAACTAAAGCTATCTTAATGTTAACCCCGCGCCGACTGGGCGGACACTTATCGCAAATACATGCCGTCTCATTGCGCTCTTCAGCTATCAATTCATCCAAAAGTATGGCTAGAAATCCATACAATTTATGATAGATATGATGAAATAATTTTGAAAAATTATTTATTTATAGGTATCAAAGAAAACTAAAAACTCTTTGTTTCAAAAAATGATTAGACATAATAAATAAAATTATTAAGGCATAAAATCATTAATAATACCTTCATTTTTATTAAGTACTTGATCAGGGTCACATATTGATGAAGGTGGGTTGCGATTAAATCCCGTACAAAACTTAGCCTGCTTCTCTGATGTCAGGTTTGGGTATATATCGGGGTCCCAATTGTACACCTCTTCATCGCATTTAATAATTAGTGTCAAACTAAATGAAATTAACACTAAAATAATGTATGAATTCATGTTTGAGAAACACATTTTACTATTAATTGTTTTGTAATATAATAAAATAAATTATTCATAAATGAGTCAATGGTTTCGTATTATAGTTAAGACATGAATTCAATGGAAGACATTAAATGATTATTATTAATATTTATTATTATATTTGTTGGAAATTTGTTTGTTTAGCAGAAGTAGTATTGTTTTTATCACATTTTCGGAGACAGAATCTTAGGGTCGAGTTATTCACTGATTATTTCCATAGAGAATACACTTTATAATAGTTTGCTATCAAATAATTGCATACAATTTCCTACAGAGCACTGGAATCAATATTATTGACACATTTGTAAACTTAACTTAAAACACTACTAAATTTGTTGACATTAAAAATGTTAACATGAAATTTTTATACATATTTTAATCAAATGAGGTTTAAATTACTGTAAATTAATACTTATTTACCTCATTTGCCATAAAAAGCTTACGTTTTTATCAGATATATATACTTAACTATTAGATCGACATAAAGTGAAAGTGTATTATTTCATAGTCTTATCGTAAGTTTTACTAATCATTAATATTATAATTATAATGCATTCAAAGTTAAATAAATTATATTATATAATTTCGAGTCAACTCATCTTATCTATCAATAAATATTTAAGAAAATGTCTGAAACGTTGAATTCAAAGAATTTTTCCATTTTCTTGAGTAAGTAAAAGATTTATTGTAATTGTAATCAAGTCATGAAATTTAATTCTGTCATGAAATTAAGAATGGATCCAATTTATCACAAGTAAAAAAGTAAATTAAATAATTTGTGTGTGTGAGAGAGAGAGAGAGAGAGAGAGAGAGAGAGAAAGCTGTATTTGTGATAGAATTTCAGATGTATTGATGAAACCATGATATCTGAAGCCAAGAATTGTATTAACAATTTAATATACAAGTGGTCAACACTTGGATTGTGTTTATAATGGTGTTGAATATAAAGATCATATTTTGACTCGATTCTTAAGAAAATACAATATTATTAGACTAATACTGTTCATTCATTTCCGCAAATTTATCTATTGTATTTATTACAATGTAATTATATATAAATTAGCATCACTTTAAATATTCTAAATAAATGTTGCTTTAAAGATATATTATAGACTTTAATTTTAATTAATAATAATTTGTAGATAAAATACAATGTACAATGTGTTTATAACAAGATAAAACACTTACATAAAATAATTAGAAATTTCTTACAAATATTTTAATGATTGCTTAATTTAAATAAATTATGCTTGACTACATACAAGGTTTAAAAACTATTAACAATTAAAACTATACCTGTCTCATAATCAAAACCAATTGAATTATAGGTAAAAACTTTGTTTCCAAGAGTTGTGCGAAAAAAGTTTTCTCCCAAAAGATGGCATTCAATGAATGAAAACAAGTTTTATTGAGTTTATGAGTAAAACAAACACTACTTTTGCATTGAATTTAGTGCTAATTAAGCGCTCATTAAGACACCGATCACTGGCTTCACGTGTTGTCTGTTATGTGAATTAGGGATCAAATGAATTGAGACATCGATTGGTG